ACTTACACTTTTCTATATTGGTACAGATATTCTTATTTTCTGTTGATGTCTTATCCTTGCAAATTACAATGCCCAGATACTTCACCTCTTTTTTGATCTGTATATTATTTATTGCCTGCAGGGGACACTCAGAGCTAGTATTAATATTCAGCTGTAGGCCAGAAGCTTTGGAGAAGTGGTTGATCACCTGTAAGGCTAAAGGAATCTGGTCCTCATTCTTTAAAAACAGGGTGGTATCATCTGCCAGCTGACTGATTATTATCTGTTCACCCATCACAGTTAACCCGTCAATGTGACTGTTTTTAATCAAAATAGACAACAGCTCAGCAAACATGATGAACAGAAGTGGTGAGCTGCTACATCCCTGCCTTATCCCTCTATTAACCTCTAACCTTGAACATGTACCATGTTCTAGCAAAACAAAGCTGTTAATGTCATTATATAGCATCTCTATAACATTGATAAATTCCTCTCCAAAACCAAAAGACTGCAGAGTTTCTAATATGAACGTATGTTCCACTGAGTCAAATGCTTTGTAAAAATCCAAGAACAGGATGTATCCTCTCTCTTGGATTATTTCACTGTACTCAAGGAGATCCCAAACCAGCCTAATATTGTTATAAATTAGTCTTCCTTTCAAAAAACCTGATTGTGTTTCACTGATAATGTTTGAGATGCCTTTCTTTAGCCTCTCAGCTCCAGACAGGATCTTATAGTCAGTGTTTAGTAAGGTGATGGGTCTTAAATTGTCTAAGATTCTTTTATCCTTACCTGATTTAGAGATCAGGGTTATCAACCCTTGTTTCATGCTCGGCATCAGTTCTTTTTTCTCTATCGATTCCTTTAATGCATCAAATAATAAAGTTCTTAGGTCATTCCAGAAGAATTGATAAAAATTAGTAGTGAGTCCATCTGTCCCTGGGGACTTGTTTAATTTTCATGACCACCAAATCCAGTTCCTCGATTTTAAACTCTGAATCACACAGATCTTTGAACGGCTTGTCAATACATGGGATGAGATTATGAATCTTATTAAAGAAACGATCAGAATCAGCTGCTGAATATTCTCAGGAGTACAATTTGGAATAAAAAGTGAAGACTTCCGTTTCAATCTCTCTGAAATCTTTACATTCAGTCCCATTTATCACAAGCTTGTGATTAGATTTCTCTGCTGTCTACACTTTTTCACCTGCCTCAATGCATTTGGCTCTCGATCTTATAAAGGCACTCTAGGCTTTCTCTAGGTAAAGATCGTCTACTTTAGTTTGTAACCCCATCAATTTATTCTTCTCTTGCATGTTTAGTTAGGCTCCGGTCTCTGCAGTGATGTCCCCGTGTCAGCAGGATCTCAGCTGACATGGGGACACTTCTGTGTTTCCGTCTGAGCTGAGTGAAGTCAGCTGCAGTTACAGTACTGAGCAGAGGCAGGAAGGCAGCGCGTGTCCTCCAGCTTAACCAGCACAGACTCAGGTGTGTCATCACTTCCTTGTTACCTGCACAGGTACAGCCGGCGCTTTGACAGGACACTTTTATGTGAAGGAAGAGAAACGCTGATGTAAATATTCTGATGTCATCGCGCTGTCACGGTGGCTCCACCCACACATGCTGGGTGGTGCAGTCGGCTCGTTTGAACTTTCTCCTGTGGCTGATTGGACGTCCAGCTGTGTGACGCCCTGTATGATGTGATCATGACGTTTGTCCTCTGTGGCGCCCCCTGCAGGTGTTCCAGATGATCGTTGAAGGACACAGGAGGGAGGAGAGGAGGAGGAAGGAGGTGGGCTGTCAGAGCGAGGCGGCCGAGAGGAGGGACGCCGCCGTCCAGGTGGATCTGCTGACTCAGCAGCTAAGCTGGAGACGCTCAGGTGAGACTCAGGGACACGTGATTTATAACCGTGCTCTCTGAAACACGGAGCTTCAAACTCATATCCAGTCCCACGTGTCTGTACAACACTGACTCAAACACAGGAAGCCTGCCAACACACAGGCCGTTACGCTGGTCGCTATAGTGATGCACCATAGTGCAGCTGTAATAACAGTGTGTGACGAAGGGCTCGACCTGAGGAAGGAAGAACCTGAACCACAGGCTAGACATTGGCCCAGGTCCCCTGTGGCACCCAGAGGCCACACAGAGCTGGTCACACAGAGCAGGGCTCGCAAAATTTCAAAATCCCAGGTAGCCCTTTGGGCAGGGACTCTTCAGTTTTTGGTAGCCCAAAATAAATTTAAGTAGCCCGAATAAGAAAGAGAGCAATTTTTTGATTGATGTTTTGTTTCTAATGGGGGCCTTTCTTAAAATTA